ACTCTCAATATATCCTCTCTCCCCCCCATTTGTGCTGTAAAACACACACACACACACACACACACACACACACACACACACACACTGTGATTCTATTTATATGAAATAGTCAGATTTAGAGAAACAGAAAGTGGATTATTGGTTATCAGGGCTTGGAAAAATGGGATAAGGGAGAAAGGTGACTAACTCTACATATGGGAGGTTGAGGGAAGGCTGTCAGAGTTCTAAAACTGGTTGTAGTGGGGTGTACAACTTTATGAATAAACAAAGGTTTATGTTTTTATTAAGTTGTGTGGTATGTGAATTATATTCCAATAAAGCTGTTTCCATTTATTTCAAAAATGGAAGACGGAATCAATAAAACATGGTTGAATGACAGGACGCCTGTGTTTGGTGGAGATGAATTCCTGATGGTAGACTTCATCATTTCCAATTTGTCTGTCAAATGAAATAGCAAGAATTGTCACTAATGCTATTATTACTTGAAATTTCAGAAAACCCAAAGGAATCATCAAAAAATGATTATCACCAATGAAAGTTCAGTAGTGTGTTCCTATGTAACTGAACACAAATGTCAGCATATCCCAATATTCTAGCAATAGCTAATAAAAAATTCAAAAGTTTAACCTTGAAATGCCATAAAATTAAATGGGAGTGGCTTCTTCAAGGGGGGGAAACAGATTTTTATTAGCAATAATAAGTGAATAAAATGTAGGTATATGTCAGGTGCTAGAGAGTCTAGATATTATAGAGATAGCAACGCCTAAATTAATTTTTTAAAAGCTTATTAATTTCCTCAGATAGAAATAAATATACATCACTGGTCATTTAAAGTTGGTGAGATATTTTAAGAGTCGTCAGAATGTTCATACCTTTGTCCCAGTGAAATTGTCTAGTTAGAGAAAAAGCTGTATGGCAAATTGGTCAGTCTTTAGATCCTAGATGAAAACTCACGTTTCCCTCCAGTCTTCTCATCACCTGGTTTCCAGATTGTCCTAAATCCTGGGGCCTCTGTTTAAGTGACTCATTAAGCTTGATCACCTAAGGAAGGGAAAAGGAAAACTCAACAGAAAGATTGTTACCACAATTTAGAAATAACCCAGTGACACATGGGAAGGATTTACTGGTGGTTGGGTATATCATTTGGCAGTGGTTCTTTCTTAGAAAGTGTGTATCATATGTTGGTATTAGGAAATGCTGTACTAGGGATTATTGGAGTCACTGGTCCCTGTGAGGACAGAAGTACAAGAGGTCTCCCTGCAGCTTTCTAAAGGTTGTGAAGTGAGGAACAGTAGAATGCAGACTTGCCTGGCTCAGAAAACAGCCAGGATAGTTTCTACCCTCCTTATTAAGGAAAAAACTCCATTCCTAAAAGGAAGTAAACTTGATTTTTTATTCCATTTCGGCATCTCAATTCAAGATAATATGCATTAGCTGTTTTTAAAATGGAAAAATACGCGCTACAAAGTAGCAGACAGGCTTCTCTGACTCATCCCCCCTAGAGGTAACCAGAGCTGTATTGTTAAAACATCGTGGTATTTGTTTCTCATGCTTAAAACTGTCTTCATTTCTGTCTCTACTAAGACGTGATTGCATTCTTTGAAGTCTTTATTTTAAAATCCCAGTCACTATCACTTGCCTAGCCATTGCCATTTCTGTGGGCATGATTACTACATTTCCCTCAGATGTTAGTTTTAGTAAAATTATAATTTTAGCCATGTGTTTATTTGAAAAAAGGTGTCCAGCTAGCTATTTCTAGTTATTTCTGGCTGTCTCCAAATTAATTTCATCTTTTTTCTGATGTCAAAATCAACATTAATGGCAGGGAACTAAAGGTAGATTTTGTCTTGCTGATGTAGACAGTGCTAAAGTCTTTGAAGCCCATGAATATTAGTTCAGTGAAGAAGGATGTGACTGACCATGGTTCCAAACTCATGGGTGTTTGTAGGCCAGCATGTAAAATGACAGTGGCGGGCAGACAGATGCCCAGTCCCAGGGCCTGGTGGACAGCGGTCATGTTGACAGTACAACCTTCTTGGGAATGCGCAAGATTTGTCATCATGCTGGAATTCAGGCTAGTTTTGCTAGATCATCGGGTTTTTCAGAAGAAGTCAAAAATATGGGTTATCGGTATTTGTTGATGTTTTTAATGGAAAAACTTCAAATTTTTAAAATTCTCATTTTTTAAAACACTAAGAAATTAAAAATTACAAACTGAAAATAGCCCCCAATCTGCCAGATTGCATCCTCTTTAAATTATTATAGTTACCAGC